TCCATTGTCAGATGCTGGGAATCATGACAACTACTATGGCAGACGACTTCGGACTAGGTGCGTTCTATATAGTCCCCTGACAAGACCAAGTTGCGACAACGAGGTCAACCCACTTCTATAAATCGAAAGGAGGCTGCGACCATAGCAGAGGCCACAACATCTTGGTCTTCATATATCCTATATTTTTGGTTCAAACCAAAAGGAATTATCTTAATTCACATCCTTTGTATGCTTACGCATGCTCGAATAGGTGGCGTGCGATACTCCTCCGGCCCCTCATTCCGGCACCGACCAGCCTCTCTGGGCTTCTCGATGAGTCAGGCCTTCTTAGGCCGACTCTCGACACTTGGTTCCAGCTTTCACTTTGGCAATCGTAATTCTGCTACTGGTAGTACTGGAATACTTCGAAATGGTGCTATCTCAACTAGTCTTCTTGACACGGCCTTCATGCCCACTCCGGAACTCGGACTTAACATTGTCCCGGTTGATACCCAAGTTGATCAGAATGGCGAAATTCCAATGCGAGCAGCCTTGCCATCTGCAGTTTTGTCCAACCAGATGTCTAAAGATTACTTGGAGGCAAATGGGGAGTCTTATCCCAGGACGGGTCAGACTACCTTAAGTGGAAATGATTTGGGAGTATTTGGATCTGTTACTGGGCCAACTGGAACAGGTGCAGCCAATGTAGTAACTTTCCGAGACGAGTGCGAGGCTAGCCTGGAGGCCAGGCGATTGGCTAGTTACCCAGCTGGACATCGACGCGACGATAATCTACCTTTACCGATTGAACGTCTTGACTGGCCTGCCCCTGCCAGCTCGGGCGTAGTTCTTGCTGAGATCAGTGAGTGGAGATTATTTATTGACTCTCTTTTAAAATATATATATTTAACTCTATTATATTAGTTTGTTGTTCAGTCAATTACTTATTACTACTATTACTTGCTGAATTGCTCATGATAGATCTAAATTCAATAACTAACTGTAAACAGGCAAGTTTTTGAGAGAATTTATGGTATTTTGCTCATACATCCTTGGGATCCTTACTCAGTTTGATCATAGAAATGTTGTTTTTCAGTTAGCTGAAATCGAATTAAGTCAACTAATGTATTACTAAATTGAATGAGTTATAGATGACCGTATTGAAAGCCAATATCTTAATAACGAATCAAAAAATATTTAGCTTTTATTTTAATCCATAATCCTTCTAATTTGATTTTTAACTTTGATTTTTATTCCACAGGAGTTAATTTTATTTAAAATAAAGCTAAATTAATTTACGAATTCATATATTCAATTTTTCATCTTTGTCTAGGAACGTATAGGCCTAACTTTTTAATATGCTCCTAATTTTTCAATGAAACTCTCATTAATCTTACTACATAGTAAAACCAGGTTTGTATTGATTATCATAAATAACCTTTTTTTTCAAAATTATACTTATAATTATAAATTAAATGGGATGTAAAGGGAAATAAGAGATGAATGAATCACGAATTATAATCATATATTCCACGAACTATCAGCAGAGTCATGAACATGTTCTCAGGTATATTAGAAATACAGTTTGGAGCAAATATTCGTTTGTTCGGTCTATAGGAAAATTTGACTATAGATAATTCAGTTCTAATTACAGCCATATTGTTTTGCTAAGCAATGATTATTCGTATGGTTGCATAAACTATACTCATTATAATATTTAAAATACCTATAATCAGAAATTACCTTTTTTTAAACACAAATAATTGGTTGGCTAATAAACTAGTTTAATGCCTATCTAGCAAAGTTAATTAAAAAATAAGTTCTGTTATTATTTAATCGCTTATTCGGGAGTTTTTAGCTCCCGTAAGTTTTATAATTTTGCTTCACACGTTTGTGCATTATCAGACTCTTTTTGATTAGAAGAATAAAGATTATCTTTTTTCATATAATTCCAAGAGAATCTTTATTTTTATGGATATCGCTTTTGTTTTGCACTATGTCCAATGATATCAGATTGGTCTTACAATTTGGAGCCTTGTCCTAAGTTTGATTTTGCATCGCCTTTTGACTTTCAGACAACTAGATAGGTATTAGTAATATACTGGTCCATCAAGTCCAATTCTGGGACGTAGCCTATTTTTTCTTTGTGTTTAAATGAGCTATCATTCATACCGCAACAACCAGATTTTGCTATCTTACATGTAACACTTTCACAATTATATTTGATTAAAGAGGTTGTTTGAACTTGTTTTCGCAACTTGGTCATATTGGTAGGAAGACTTAGAGGAGCGCACCTAGTCCG